ATACATACATACATACATACATAACGTATGTATGTGTGTATGTGTGTATGTATATATACACACACATTCCATGGGAATCAAAAAGAAATCGCAGTCGCGTTAGCAGCAAACTGCGAAACTGACACTAAAGCAAAAGTCGCCTTGATTGCAATCATTATTCGGTGATATCAGTCACGTTTAGCAGCCATACCTGTGTTCATTGGCGTTAGCAGTATTCACCAAATCGCAAGTGGGTGCCGAGAGTACGAATACCAGGTTTGACAATGTTGGCAGCGAGCGTAATGCTGGTAAGCACAGGTTCACAACAGCGATAAGTCCCTTGGGGGAGCAAGCGCTCTCACTGCAGCGTTCCTTCAACCCTTAGCCGTTAACTCCGTTAACCCCACCAAGAACGTACCTGAGGGGCAGCTACGTCGGACTGACGCCTAGACCTTCACGCCAACAAGAAGCTTCCCGGAATCCTTGAACCCGAAGGCGCTGCCTTCAACAGCACACAAAGTGACAAAGCAACCGTGCAGTTTTCAGTTCAAGGCGAGCGGACACGAGACGACGATACTTGACCGCATTCTGAAGGCAACCAGTAACAAGAGAGCCTAAGGGTGCAGGGTACCTTGGTGTCTACTGATACGTTTGTGACTGAAGACCTGCTTGTGTTTACGGAGCACGGCTTACTGGCTCTCGACAGCAGCTCTTGAGTAGTCCCAGAAAAGGTTGCTCTGCTGTAAACTCCAACCCTTAGTACCGAACTCTTCATAGATCAGGGCTGGAACTCTCTGTAGGAATTCATAAGGTGTGTCTAGGAGCTAGAGTTGTGCTTTCGATAAGGTTTTATTTGCGTAAGGTTCTGCTGCACTCCTCCCTACAACCCTAAATCTGCAGTTACATAGAGCCAGAGACCTACTGTAGCTGCTGCAAAAAGACGTCTGAATAACTGCTACTTTCCTCTGTACATGCGCCAAACGGACATTCTAATTAGTCAGACCCCGGTATTAGAGCCTGTGCTGTGTACCTTAGATAGTAGAAGCATCTACTACTAAACCGACTGCTGCTACTACTACTACTACTACCACCACTACTACTACTACTACTACTACTACTACTACTTTTTCTTCTTCTACTACTACGACCACCACTACTATTACTATTACAACGACGACGACTACTACTAGTAGTCGAAGTTTGTGCGATGTTCGGATTTTATGTTTGAAGGTCGGGTCAAGAGGTCAAAGACTGTAAGCAGCTCAAGCCCTGCGCTGTTTAAAGCCCTTCAGGTGTTTCGGTTTAGACTTAAGGTTTAGCGGTTTGGGGGTTTAAGTGGCTCGAGGTTTAGGGGTTTAGGGAGGTTTAGGGGTTTAGGGTTCAGGGATTCTGAAACAGTACCTGGTCGAACTATCTCATCTCTCATCCCTTAGACCCCCAGGGCCGTACAGACCCCCTTTCAAGAACCCTGTAAGCGATCCGTATAGAAACCCCTATCGTGATCGCTCTGAGGAATATCTTGAATGGCGAAGCTCTCCACTGCCGCCCCCAGCCCCTTGGCCAGCTACGAGAGTTTAGGGTTTAGGGTTATTGGAAGGCAGGGAGTACCTTCTGTCAGCTGTGAACCAGCCCTTTTTTCATAAGGGTTTTTTGAAGGCAGGGGGTAGAGATTGAGATTTGAGTTTGGGTTTGGGGTTCAGGGTTTATGATTCATGATTCAGGGTTTAGGTTTTAAGTTTAGGGGATTGCCGTTCGAGGGTTTGTGTTCGAATTCGCGAATGAGAACTTCCTGGGGCGGGTTGACTTGAAAATGGAGGACCTGGAATCGGTTTAGGGTTTAGGGTTTAAGGTTTAGGGACCTGGAATGCCCCGCATTGAATTGACACACTTTCCACTCGAAAAGCCTCGATGCCAAACTGCATAAACTAAGCCCTGCCTTTACACTCGCTTTCCGAAGATCATCCGCGGCCCTGTCTCTGGCACATGTTTAGCTCTTCGAAGTTTTAAGGCTTGAACCCTAAACCCTAAAAGAAAACCCTGGTGTTTCTTGCCCACAGCCGCAACCCCCAAACCTGATTTCTCAAGTCCTCAATCTCGGAGCGAGCCCTCACTCAGTCATCGTATGCTTCCTTTTTAATAGCTGCCGATATAACACCGTCCTAACCCTAAACCCTAAACCCTAAACCCTAAACCCTAAACCCACTTAAGTATAAAGGACCCCTCAGTTGCCGGCTCCCCTCGTTTAGGTCCCTTAGCTGTAGCCTCAAGTCTTCCAAACCCAGAGTTCAGAGGGCCGTCATAAAAACCCTGTAGCCGCAGTTTGAAGGGGTTTTGCGTGTGAGGGTTTGCGGGTTAATGTAGGGGCCTTAGTAATTAGAATAGGCTTTGGGGGTATCTTATACTATATTAATTCCTTAGTCGGGAACGCCCCAAGACCATATTCTAATTATTCAGTCACCTACACTAACCCCGGCAGCCCCCCAACCCCATAAACCCTCACCCTCTGGAAGCCCGCAAGAAACTCGAAGCATCTCTCCCGGCGCCTAAACCCAAAACCCTAAACC